AGGCTTTGTTGTATTTTCAGAGGTTAGTTTATTAAATCCTCACAATAACCCTATGAGATAGATAATATCATCGCCATTACACATAGATAATAGTATCTCTCAGATTATAGATTATTACAGATGCCACCATGCTCAGCCCAGTGAAGATTTTTTTTTTAAGAAAAGAAATATAATACATGTTTATAAGCTGACAAGAACCATCCAATAGAAAAGAAAACTTAGGGGCTGGAGGAGTAGCTCAAGCATAAGAGCCCCTGCCTAGCAAGAGTCAGGTCCTAAATTCAAACCCCAGTGCCACCAAAAAAAAAAAGAAGAAGAAAAGAAAACTTAGTAAATACAGAACATGAAAAAAATTGTAAGATCAAAACTTTTTTAAATTAACACATAATTGTACAAGTTTATGGCTACAAATATGATGTTTCCATACATGTATACATTGTATAATGATAAAATCAAGGTAATTAACATAACCATCATCTGAAACATTTCTTTGTGGTGAAACATTCAAAATTTTCTCTTCTAGCTATTTTGAACAATGCTATGCATTAACTACAATCACTTTATGTTACAAAAGAACATTGGAAATTATTCCTCCTACTAACTTGTAACTTAGTACCTGTTAACCAACCTCTCCCCATTCCCCCACTCTCTGTCTTTCCCCTGGGATGACAGGCACACCACATCCTACTTCTTTTCATTGAGATGGGGTCTCCAAAACTTCTTTTGCCATTGCTGACCTAGAACTGTGATCCTTCTGACCTCAGCTTCCTTCGGAGTTTGGGACAACAGGCACATGCCACGGCGCATAGCTATTGCCTGAGATGAGGGTCTCGCTAACTTTTTACCCTCAAACTGTGATCCTCCTGATCTCAGTTGTCCAAGTAGCTAGGATTACAGGCATGAGCCACCAACTTGGTTGGCCTGGAATTCATTATGTAACCCAGGCTGGCCTCAAATTCACATTCCTCCTGCCTCAGCCTCCCAAGTGTTAGGATTATAAGCATACACACCCCTCTACCCAGCTTTGACTTTAAATGCTTCACCACAAAGAAATAAATGTTTGAGGTGACAGATGTTAATTACCTTGATTTGATCATTATACAATGTATACATTGTACACCAAAAATATGTACGTTTATGTGCCAATAAACACAACTAAAAAACTTTAAAAGAGAAAAAAATGAGCCAGGTGCTGGTGGCTCACGCCTGTAATCCTAGCTACTCAGGAGGCAGAGATCAGGAAGATCATGGTTTGAAGCCAATCTGGGCAAATAGTTCGCATGACCATCTCGAAAAACCCTTCACAAAAATAGGGCTGGTGGAGTGGATCAAGGTGAAGGCCCTGAGTTCAAGCCCCAGTACCACAAAAAAAAAAAACAAAAAAGAAAGAAATGCTCATTTAACAAATATTTGCCCAACACTTACCATTATTACCATGTAGATAATGAGTTTCAATCTTTTTTAATAGAATGCAGAATACAGTAGAGTTAAAAAGACTGAACATTGAGTTAATTTGTTAAGGTATTGCAACAACCAAGACTAAAGTTTGTAAGTGCTAAATTAAGGTGTGACAATGGAAATAAAGGTTTGAAAGTTGTTGTGAAGGTAGAATCAGTATAATCTAACAAATGACTCAATCAGGAGATTACAGGTGTGGAAGAAAGCAAAGACCATCGATGAAATTTCCAATTTGATGACATAAAGAAAAGACATAGGAAAAAACACATTTTAAATGATTCTACTTTAATGATACAGTAAGCCACTGACCTCTGAAGATCCATGTCCTACAACCTTGTCAGAACTTAAACCTAAATACAAACATTTAATAACACAATATAAAGCATAATAAGCACTATTCCCTGTTATAAGAAATAAAGTTTTTACTAGCTCAATCAATAGAATTCATAATGCCTCATAACATAACCAACTTAAATTTTTGTCCTTTCAAAATCACAAATTATTACAATTTATAGATTTTCCAGGTCACTATCAAATTAGAAAAATCATGAATGTTAAGAACACAAATTCTGAGTCTGTGGTAGAAATATTAAGCAGAAAAATGGAAGTGAAGAACTAAGAGGTCCAGCCTGAAGACTCAGATAACTCTCTACAAGGAGATTTTGTAACAAAACAACATGAACAGAAAACTGCAGACCCTTGTTCCACATCTTAAGCACTTGCCACAAATAGAGTAAGACTGCTACAGAGTAGAGTACAATAAAGGAACAACCTATGGACAGAGGACATACATCAAGGAACATTTTTGGGAACAGGAAAACAAAGACACAGAAGGGAGCAGTCAAAGAAGCGGTAGTAGAATGGATATTACGGTAAAAAGAAAAAGAAAAAAAAGGCCAGGTGCAGTGGCTCAAACCTATAATCCCAGCTCCTGAGCGGCAGAAATCAGAAAGATTGCAGTTCAAGGCCAGCCAAGAGCAAAAAGTTTAAAAGATTCTCATCTCAACCAGTAAAAGCTGGACATGGTGGATCATGTCTGTCATTCCACCTATACAGGAAGCATAAACAGAAGATTATTGTCCAGCCTGGCCTAGGCATAAACTTGAGACTCTATCTCAAAAATAACTAAAACTAGGGGCTGGAAGAATGGCTCAAATGGTACAGTACTTGCCTAGCACGCGTGAGGCCCTGAGTTCAAACTCCAGTAACAGCCAAAAAAAAAGTCAGAAGAAACATCTGATGTGCTCAAGTGGTAGGCATGCTTGCCTAGCATGCCCAAGGCCTGGATTTGATCCCAGGACCAAAAAGAAAAGGCCAGGAAAAAAAAAAAAGGTAAGAAAAATACCAAGAAGGAACACATGTTCAACAGTTACAGTTAACACAGTTCAAGAGGATGAAGAATAATGAAAGACTATCAGATTCAGTCATAGAAAGTTTCCCAAGTCTTCTACAGATTTTTCTGTGGAACTCTTTCCCAATGACACTTTTCACAAATAACAATGGACTGTACTTTAATTTGAAAAATAAAGTTTTAGTATTCAGCACAGCATATTCCACAATGGAAAATTACACAGCAATGAAAAAGAATACATTATATCTATAAAGAACAACATGGATAAACCTCATGGACATGATCTGAAAGAACTACTAACAAGAGTACAAAGTGTTTGATTACATTTAGTTAAAGTATTAGCTCAATACTAACCAATGGTGATAAAGGTCATGAGAGTGGTTAACTTTAGAGAAGGGTAGTAACTGGAAGAAAGCATAAGGGGGCATTCTAGGATACAAAAATATTCTCCATCTTGATCTGAGCAATGGTCATATACATGTATTTTTCTGTAAAAATTCATGGATTAAATGAACCTTTGATTTGTGTACTGTAAGTCAAACCTCAAAAAAAAAATAGAAGTTACCAATGGCCTTGAAGAAACCAACTTAAGGAAATATTAGGAATGTATACAAGGTGAGACGGATTATTTTGTTTTTGGTGGAACGGGGGTTTGAACTCAGGGCCTTGATGCTTGCTAAGCAAGTGCTCTGCCACTTAAGCCACTCCGCCAGCCCCAAGGTGAGAAAATTTAAACAATGAACATAACCTCATTTTTCAAGAAGCTTACTGGTGAAGTAAAGAAAAGATAAAGCAACTTGGATGGTTTATACACTTCAGGGAAATTGTGGTTTTTGTTTTGTTTTTATTTGACAGAGAGAACATACCTAACAAGAGTCTTTAACAGATGACAAGTGATAAAATCAACGATATAAGCAGAGGAATCAGCCTCAGAGAGAAGGATGAATACTTATTTCTCTGAGGCTGAAATTAATGATGAATGAAGGCACAAATTCTTAAAGAGGGAAAACTTAAGTAACCACTCTTCACTGAAGCATTCAATAAGTAAAATGTACCAGGTAAACTAAGTCAGGAAAGGACCTAGACTTAAAGCATATTTAAAAAGTCCTGAATAGGTATTTGGGGTATAGGTATTTGGAAGGGGTACTGGAACTACAGGAAGTGGATAATGCTCAGCAGCCTGAAGCAATGGAAGCGATAGCCAGGGCTCAGTGAAGGATGAAAGGTGGGAACAATCCAAGGGCCAGCAACTGCAACTCTAAGGAAGATACCTGTTCAATTGAGGGGTAAGAGGCAGGAGACTTATAAAAAATCCCGAGTCAGGATGAAATCATTAAGGTCTGGAGTGGAGCTGTGCAAAAGCAAATCTGTCACCAGAGATCATTACTACAGAACATTTTTCTGCAAATTCAACAAGATTAAGGATTAATCTCCTTTCACTGAACTTCCTATAGCTACTAGTGGCAGCTTCTCCTCCCTGATAAAACTGACCTTTATCCCGTATTCATAAATACACCCAGTATTGTCTAATAGATTATATAAATACATTCTGTCCATTCGGAAACTCATTTTGCATTGCTTTCTGTGTTTTCCCACACAGAAAAGGGCAGAGCTTAGAGCTATTCATTCTCTGTCCACGGCATTGAGATTGCACACATGTGTTTTTAAAAGTGATTTCTCATAAAGTAGGTGGTTACTAAGGAGAACGCAACAGATTCTGAACACACTAGTACAAAGTGTAAGGATGACCAAATCAAAGAATGCTCAGGAATGCCCCGTTTTATAATTGCGAAGACAATCTCTAAGAAATAAGATGAGATGATCAAATTGACATTCCTCCTCTTACTCCATTTACTCCTCTGGAGAACTCAACACGCCTCTTAATAAGCCTACTCTCTGCAGCTCATTTTGTCCAGCCCACATTCCAGTGCCCTTCTCGCCATTCAGAACTCCTAGTTACCAACTCCCCTAAGGATCATTTTTTTAATCCCCATTTCCAATTCAACCCCAGGCCACCACGTTCATTTCTTCACTCCCCATTTTTCTCCTCTCTTGATCTCCACTCCTTCCAAAGTAGCCAGTCCCCACCCCTCCCTCAGTCGCTCTGGCCCTGGTCCTCCCGCCCGGGGTCCCCTCCCCCACCGCTCCCTTTTGGGTTCCGTCTCCCCATCCTTCCCCAAGCCCACCGTACCTGCTCCCTTCCGTCGGCCCCCGAGGGCCCGGTTCTCTCGTCCAGTCGCTGCCTCCCGGGCGGCGCTCGCCGGCGCGGCGGCAGGGGTTGGGGCAGCTCGGCCGCCCGCGGAGCCCCATCCTCCAGGCGGGCTGGCGACGGCGGCGGCGGCGGCTGCGGCCGGTCGCGGCAGCGGCTCCGCTTCATATCTGCGACTGGGCCCCGCGGGGGTCAGCACCGCGACTTTCCCGGCCTCGCTCGGCTCCGGGCCGCAGCGCTGCCGCGGCAACCACCGCCCGCGGCCACCATGGCCCGGCAGGCGCCCGAAGCCACCCACCCCAGCCCGCAGTGCCTCGGCGCTTTCTGCGGGCTCAAGCGCCGAGCCCTCGTCGGCGCTACTCACGGAGGAGGCAGCATCGCCGCCGCCCCGTCTTCTCCCTCCCTGCACACGCTCGGCCGGCCACACGCCGCCGCCGCCGCGGGCTCCACAGTCAATCGCCCGCCCGCCAGCCTCCGGCCGGCCCCGCCCCTCGCGCGCGGGCACGGGAAGTCCGCCCGCCAGCGCCGAACGCGCGCGGCCTCCCGCGCACGCGCCAGCGAAAGGTCGCCAAAGACCCGCCCGTGGCCCAGCCTCGCGGTCCGGGCAGCGGAAGGGGGCGTGGCTCCTGGCGGGCCGCTGTGGCTGAAGCCACTCATAGATTCTTCCCATTCATCCATTCAAGAAAGTGTCTGCCGGACGCAGCCCCGGGCCGGGAATCCAAAAATGAGCCCCAACGGAGGAGAGAAGGGGGCCAGGAGCACGAAGGAGACCAAATACACAATGAATGGGCTGCATGCTGATACGTGACTTTTTATTGAGTGCCTGCAAACCTTCACCTAATTCTCTCACATCACACTTTGGAGGCAGGCCAGTGTACGCATTCTCATGTTATAGACAAGGAAAGGGACTGATGTGTAGTGAAACACACCAAGTCACCCAGCAAGTCAGTGATCAAACTAGACAGACTCAAATTCTGACTCTTCTGTCCCTTTTGCACTGTTGTCTTGCTCCTTCCAGACAGAGTGTGAAAAGTCCTGTAAGACAAGAAGAAGTGATGAATTCCTTCGGGGGAAGAGAGTACAAAAAAAAAGGCTTCCAGAAGATCCCCTGGGCTCCCCACTGACAGTGAAGTCATCATGTAGCACAGTCCAGCCTGCTGCGGCCTGGGCAGCCTGACCTGAAGCCTCCAGTGACTCATCTGCTTAGCAACATGTGGTCGCAGCTCAGCCCTGCCTGGTCTCCTTCTGGCTTCAGCTGGTCTGCTATAATGCTGTATTTTTCTTCTTTGTCCTAACCAGAGTTCATTCCCAGAAGCCTTTCCCACAGACTTCCCCCATTTGTACTGGGCCTCCTGTCCAAACTCTTTCTGAATAGTAATAATAGATATCATGGGTGCCTACTGAATTCCAGACACTGTACATTCAATGTGCATTCAATTCACATACAAAGAAGAGGTAAGTTGTATTGTTTTCCATTTTACAGTTGAGAAAACAGGCTCAAGTTATATCACATACTCAATATCACACAGCTGATAAGGGCAGGGTGAGGACACAAACAGAGGTCTGTCAGATGCCAGAGCCCACATACATAACCATCAGGGCCTGCATTCTCTGTCCCAGTTCCTCATTACCCATCCAATTGCCTCAAGCAGAAACCAGAAAGTCCTCAAGGACTCCCTTCTCCTCCCTCTCTTCTTCACATGTAATCATGAACAAATCCTGTTGATTCTGTAACTTCACAATCTCTCCAATCTGCCTCCTCTTTCCATCCCATTGGCAATGCTTCAAGTCAAGTCTTATCTTCCCTCACCTGCCTGATTGGGAAAGACTTCCAACTGGTTTGCCTGCATCTGGTCTTGTTCTCTTCAAACCAGTCCTCCACAAGCCCTCACAAGAATCTTCATATGCCATTTTACTTTTTTGCTTAAAACAGTTAAATGAATCTCAAGATGAAGGGTACACTTCCTGTAACTGGAAGGCCATCCAAAACCTCACAGTAATCCTTGAGTCCTCTATTTCTCACACACTTCACATCCACTCCACTACTAATTGCTATGCGAATTAGTAAGATATTATGGTTAGTTGGGGAAGGTGATGATGACTAGTACTAACACAGTGGTAGTGGGGATGGAAGAAAGTGGGTGAATTTTAGACAGACCCAGACAGTAGAAACAGCAGGATCTATTGACTGCACCTGGGTGGAGAGTGAGATGGAGAAGACTTGAGAATGATATCCAAGTTCTGACTTGGTCAACTTAAGGTAGAAAACAGAAGAGAAGAGAGGTTTGAAGGAGATTGTGGTTAGTTAAATTTTAGAAGCATTAGATGTGTTGGCTTTGAGAAGTGCCAATGAGCAGAAAAGAAAAAAGAAACAGAGAAAGAGAAGCGCCAATGAAATACCCAAGTGAAGATGTCCAGCAAGTTACTGGTTAAATTGGGTTTGACCTCAGAACAGCATTCCAATGTTTACCTCACTAAACTGCTCATAACCTTAGAGTACAAATGTGACCACTTTTCTTTTTTTCTAGTTAGTCACTCAGACCCCTCATGCCATGTTATTAGGAAGTCTAATATCTCTTCCTAAGTTATCCAAGAACTCCAAGGAGCTTTTATATTCTAAAAGGAAAGTATTGTTATACCACAAGCCACTTTGGAATTTGTGGCTTAAAACAACAACCACTTCTTTAGTTGGCAATTTTGTGGACCAACTATTCTTGCTCATCCATCTTCAATCAGCTGAGGGGTGGCTGGCTGGTGACTAGATTATCTGAAGTGGCCTCTCACACATCTGGCAGTTGTCAGGCTATTGACCATTGCAGTGGAAGTACAATAGATGTTGCATCATCTATTAGGCATGTTTGAATTTCTTCATATGGCAACAGTGATAGGGGTCCCAAGAGCAAAGAGACAGCAAGCCTTAGATGAAAGCACTTTGCAAGTCCCTATTGGTTCCACATTGGCAACTGTCACTGCCAAAGTGATTCATGAGTCACAAAGTAAGACAGTATGGGAATGACTAAAGTTTACATGGCAAAGGGGAGAGGATTCAGGGAGAGGAAGAATTTGTGACTATCTTTGAAATCTATTCCAAGAAAATCAATCCAGTTTCCATAGCCAAGTCCAGCTAGAATGAGATTAGTCCTTAAGTATCATTGTTTCCTGGGACCATGTTATGGACTGAATATTTGTGCCACCTCAAAATACATATGTTGAAGTCAGGTATGGTGACTATATTAACATCTGTAATCCCAGTCAGTGTGGATATTTACATAGTTCCTAATTTACCTAATTTACCACAGTTTGACACAATTTTTTTTATTATGGCACAAAAATGACATGAATTCAATAGAAAGTATACTTTGAGTTTTGAGTTTGGTCTTTTCCCAGGCTAATGATATGCTATATGATACTTTCATTATACTGGGCAGAAATACTGAGCCATAGCTCCCAGTCAGTCACATGATTACAAGGGGAAATGACCAATACTCTCAAGTGTAGTGTGTTTCTTGGATTTAGGTATTCAATAAATTACATGAAGCTTGGTGCAGTGTCACATGTCTGTAATCCCAGCTACTTGAGAGGTGGAGATCAGGAGGATCACTGTTTGAAACCAACCCAGGCAAAAATTAGCAAAACCCTATCTCAACAGATAAGCTAGACATGGTGGTACATGTCTGTAATCCTAGATATCATGGTCCAAGACTGGCCTCAGGCAAAAAGTCAAGACTCTATCTGAAAAATAACCTAAGTCAAGAAAGGCTGGAGGTATGACTCAAGTGGTGCAGTACTTGCCTAGCAAGTATGAGACCCTGAGTTCAAACCTCATACTACCAAAAAATTATGTGAAATATTGAATACTTTGTTATAAAATAGGCTTTAGGTTAGATAATTTAGCCCAACTGTAGGCTAATATAAATGTTCTGAGCATATTTAGGATGGCTTAGGCTAAACTTTGATTTTCTATAAGTTAGGTGCATTCAATGCATTTTTCAACTTACAATGAGTTTGTCAGGAGGTAACCACATCGTAAATTGAAAAGCATCTATATTTGGGGATGGGGCCTCCAAAGAAGTAATTAAGATTAAATAAGATTATAAGGGTGGGGTCCTAATCCTATACAATTATGTCCTTATAAGCAGAGACACCAGATGGCTCACTTTCCTTAGCTCAAGACAGGCAGGAAGGCCAGTGAAGACATAGTGAGAAGGTGACTGTCTATATGTCTCATCAGAAACCAAATTGGCTGGACCATGATCTTGGACTTCTAGACTCCAGGATAATGGGAAAATAAATCTCTGTTGTTTAAGCCACCCAATCTATGGTATTTGTTATGGCAGCCTGAGCAGACTAATACAGACCTCATAGCATTGCTTTCAAAGAAAGGTCCTTCCAACACAACAGAGTTTTTTTGGTTTGGTTTGGTTTGGTTTGGTTTTGAGGGAAAACAATACCATCCCTCAATGCTGAACTCAGCCAAGGATGCCCAAGCCAGGCTTCCCACAAGTGAAGCTCTTAATCTCTATCCTTTCAGTTCCCATACATAGATAGCACCATTACTTCCCAAGGAAACAGGAAACTCCAGGACAAGTTCTCCGCAGAGCCCACATTGTAGGAACCTTAAGGCTTCCTCTTAAACACTGGCTGTAGAGGGAGTAACTATGTTCCATATTGATTGCTTGCCAACACTCCTAAAGGAGGTTGTCCTCCGTGCTTCTTGGGAGCTGGGGAATCTACACATACCCTCCTGGAGAAGGCCAGGTTCCATGATTCTAACATGCTGTACTTTCCTAAGACTCCCTAGGCTATTCAAAGAGACCCACATTACTCTTCTAAAGTTCAGCTTCAAGGGTTCCTGTATTATCATTGTGGCAAAAATAGAATATCCGTTTTCTTTCCTATTGTTGGACTCATAGCCATTAGAATAAAAGCCTTGTTTGAGGCTAGGTCTAGACATGAGACTGAGACCTTAACCAATGATGTGCAATACAAGTGATGAGTGCAACTTCTGAATTATACTATTAAAGGGAAGAAGCTTACTTTCCCTTTCTACCTCTCCCTTCCTCTGTACTATTGCTTAGAAAGTGTCTTGGTTAAAATCTATCTTGAACCATAGGAATGAAAAAAAACATCATAGGATAACAATGTGACAATATAGGAAGTTCCTAGATGAACTCATAGCTCAGAACAATGTGACAATATAGGAAGTTCCCAGATGAACTCATAACTCAGAGCTGTCATACTTGCCCTCTGTGCTTCCATGTGAGAGAGAAATACACTTCTGTATTTCTTTGTATTCATTGTATTCAATGAAGTCATTGTTGTTTTGGGTGTCTATTACATGTAGCCAAATTTCTATTATGTCTTTAAATATGGTGATTTTTGTCTGTTTT